TTCCAGACTCAGAAGCATCTGGTTGCCCATAAAAGAGAAGAAGCCAGACTAGATAGGCCTTTGCCTGAGTCATTCAGAAGCCTTGTTAGATTATAACAAAGGAGTTGTCTTCATATTTCAGGTTTCTTGAAACAGCCACAATTTTAATATTTTGTTGCACACCGATCAGCGTTCTTATTAAAAATAAATGCAGAACTCACTTTGCACGAAGAAGTGTTTGAATGGCAGCTGAGTTCCCAGAATGTTTCTATAATTTTTAAACACAAAGAAAAAGGCATAAGCAATTGCTTTATCTCATTCATTGCTTTATATTGAGGCTGTGCAAATCATTGAATAGGTATTTGCTTTGGCGAACATCTGTTCCAAAGCAGCCATGTTGCTTCACTTTGCATTGCAAAGTTTTAATGAATGCTACAGAGGACGGGTCACTCTTCATTCATCCCAAGTGTTGACAAAGTGTGCGAGAGACTACACAGCTTTGTCTTCTCTAGCTGCCCTTGTCAAAGCCCAAGGAGGCATCTGCCTAGATGCAATGTCAGGATCAATGCTCTTCTGGCTTTGGCAAAGTACAAGTAGGAAATAACAATAAGCTTCAAGGCAATGCAAAATCATTTTTATAAACAAATGATACCCTCTCTTTATGTCAATTAAGAGAAGCACATCACCTCTGCAGCACCAGTCTCTTTGTCACAACAAGTCTAGGTCACCTTGCACAGATCTACCATTTTATATAGGTAGCTTCACAATAATTAGTTTCACAGCAACTACAGTTTGAGCATGTGTGTTAGGCTGACAATTATTTGAATGGACAAGATCATAAGGCACAAAATGTCTCTCTGAAAAAGCCTTAATAATTCATAGAAGGAAAATACTTGAGAATGAGACATGGTCTTTTTCAGATGCAGGACAACAAAATCAGCTCTTAAAAGACAGAATATATAATATATATTGCACATACTTTATCTGTATCTGCATGTATTCCTTTTGTATACCCACTGTGAAGTCAATCTGGATTTTTGCACAAATCCTGCATATTTGTACACACCATGTCTGACAGGATATAATTAGGGACACTTCCACGCCACCATTTTGATCCCTCTGTCTGACAAAAGTACTTTAACATTGATCTGAAATCAATTTCATTGCTGCTGATCCTCAAATTTATACACATACACACACATGATCAGCACATCCGCTGGTGATTTGGGGTTTTTTTTTTCTAAAAAACTGAATGGTTGGTGTTCTAAGGAGAATCTGAAAAGCTACTAAGGCACACTCTTTTGCTCCCTTTAAATACCAGTGAAAATAATAGTGATTCACCAAGAGGCCACCATGTTTGAATCTTTATTAGAAACTGGAAAGTGCAATGATAGAAGAGTTCTGCCAATGGGAAACTAACAATGGGAAACAAGCTCCCACAATACAGCCATCTGCCTGCCAGACACAGAATACACATTTCCATAAGGAAGAGATGTTCTTGGTCACATACATATGGAGTCAAAAATCCCATCTCCTCCCTCTGGTGAAACTGTCACATGCTTGGTGCTCCCTGAACTTGTTTGCTTGCAAACATATCATTACCCAAGTAGGTAACATCATCAGTGATAGTGATAGATAAACAGATTTACTTTCTGTTTATATCCCATAGCTTACCCTGCCAATTTGGTGGGGGTGTGGTTTGTTCCTTGGGAGTTCCTTGATTACAGCATTGTTTTCTTCTTGATTGTTTGCCTAGTGCTAATCCCTGCTTATCTGGATGTTGGCTGCTGCACTGAAGGAAACATTTCTTTTGAATATATCCCATGTCAGGAATAGCTGATTATTTACCAGATTGGTAGAAAGGCTTCACACTCTCAGATGTGAATGCCATCTCAGATTAAAGACAAATAAAGTTTTCTTGTGATCACATGGAAAATCTGTTCTCTAACACAGAGGTCCACAACCTTTTGGGCACCAGGGACCAGTTACGTGGAGGGAGGTTTTTCTGCAGACCGGAGGGGGCGTGGTTTTGTGTGCTGCCTGCATCCCGCAAATGGGGCTTTGCTTGTTTGTGTGGCCCAGTTGCTGGCATGCTGCGGCCCTGTACCAGTCCACAGAGTGGGGGTTGAAGACCCCTGATCTAACACAAACATCATAAAAACATGGATCTTTCAGCAGGCCCTTGGTCAAGAAGAACCCACTAATATGCTGCATTCTTTATTTTCTGGATTGAGATTTCTGTTTTGGTTTTTTTTACTGTTATATTGTGTTCCTCACTTGTTCTATGTGCTGCCTTGAGTTGCTTAACAATTAGGCAGCAGTACAAAGCACACACACACAGAGACAGATTCTGACCATATTCTGCTTTGTTTTAAGCTATCAGGTTAAGCCAAAAACCCAACTAATCCACTGAAAAATTGATGGAACAAAATATTTTGTAATATCAAATGAAGTATATATTGTACAATTGATATCTTTTGCTTTTTTCCTGAAAATAACAATTATGAAAAATGCCACTAACTGGGTAACTATTTCGAATTCAGGATGTGCATAGTTTTTTATACCGTTAAAAAAACTTGAGTGATGAGGTGTTGATTTTAAGATTTAAAATCTGAAAATTCCTAATCATTTTTTTCAATAACAGTGCAAAACTCTCTGGCTCCTAAAAGAGGCGGCAGGTATAAACCGTCTCTTTTGCCGCCGTGGCTTCTGCTTATTAAGAAGCAGGGAAAATGAGCCTCCTGATCGCCATCTGCTGCTCGGCTGATGTTTTGCAAAGACACAATACAAGCAAGGCTAATATATAGTGGGAAGAGACACAATAATTATTGTGGTAATGTTATATGAATACACATTTGATGTGGTTGTTCCAGCAAGCGGGACTGACCTAGGGGATTTTATAGGGGTTTTAATTACTTTTAAATTGGACATTCTCAAATATTTCATTTTAATTAAATTTTAACTAGGTGTAATATGTTAGCTTTTTATCATTTGTCAGCCGCCCTGAGTCCGAAAGGAGAAGGGCGGGATATAAATGCAATTAATAATAATAATAATAATAATAAAAATAGTCCAATGAAGTACTTTGAATTATCACTTTTCAAACTGTTCCTTTTTCTGTTGTTGCTGCAATGCTGCAAAGACCAAAATGCAAAAGAAAAAGGGAAATGTTAATTTCAGACTTGTGTTCTCTTGTTCCTTTAAAGCAACTCTGCACATCTGCTGCTACACTACAATCACAGATACTATCTGCGAATTATGAAAATTTTAATTCTGCATGTGTTTGGGAAAAAATGCTTTTAAAGGTAAAGCAGCTTTTTTCTGAGAAGCAAAATAACAGTGTGTTTCTTCCGCACAATTTCTGACTACACTAGTGAACAGCTGATTTATGTTTTTACATTTTCTTTTAAGAGGGAAAATTCTGCATTGGATTGTGTTATGACTTTTATATGTTTTTAAACAATGTGTTTTCAAAGCAGCTCTGTAATTTTAGGTGTACTGTCACAGAACACCACTGTCATTATCCACTCTGAAATACTAGATTTCCCAAAGAAGTGCAGTTTTAAATTGCTTTCAGAACTAGTTTTACTTAGAAGAATCAAATAACATTAATCACAACACAATCTAACTTGTGTCTTCTCAGAAATTAGCCTCCCTGAATCTAATGAGACCCTTTTTTCAGTGCATGTGGGTAGAGGACTCAAATTTCATTATGGATAAATAAAAAAAAAAGAGCAATGCCCAATACATTTTAATACTACTGTTGATATTTATGAATGTTACTGCCTGTGTAATTTAATCCAATACTGAGTAGGACATAGCAACCTTGAGTGGGTGGCATGGATGGTCATCTGCATAAGCTCTTAGACTCTCGTTATCCGTAGACCTGGAAGATGAAAAAAACAATAAAACATATCAGCAACACTGACAGCAATTTAAAATGTATTTGTCTGAAACTGAGATTGGTTCAGCTTCACCAACTATTTGTAAACCAGTTGATAATAAGATGACAAACACTTTACCTGTAAACACTTTTTGATCTTTTGTGTGATTGTGTATGAGGAGAAAGACATTTCTTCCTGCACAGATGATTATAATATCTATATTCTGAAAGAAACGATTTGCTTGCTCTTTTTAAGAGCTTTGGGGTAAAAGGCTGCTTTCTTTCCGTAAACCAATCAGCATGTGTGTCCAGTAGATCACCACTGGTAGCTTTCTTCTTTTTGGGAATCTGACACAACTTCCCAGGAGACAAGGAAAAAGGTAAAGGACATGGCTGGACTGCACTTCTGTATGTACGAGATAAGATTGAATCTCGAATAGGCTGCTCCTCCTCTTTTCTCAAAGGAGACGATCTTCCTCTTGAAACCAAATTCAGGCGATTTGGTAACCGCTGAGAATTTAGGAAAAACAGATAGAACATTTTAAAAATGTAATTGTCCATTTTCACCCTAGAGCAGGGGTAGGCAACCTTGGCTCTTTTATGACTCGTGGACTTCAACTCCCAGAATTCCTGAGCCAGCTGTGCTCATGAAAGAGCCAAGGTTGCCTACCCCTACCCTAGAGTCATATGCCCGAAATCTTATAAAGGACAATAAATACAGGTAGTCCTTGACTTACAAGTGTTTGTTTAGTGACTGTTCAAAGTTACAGCACTGAAAAATGTGACTTATGACCATTTTTCACAGTTATACCTTTGTAGCATCCCCATAATCATGTATTCAAAATTCAGATGCTTGGCAGCTGATTCATATTTATGGCCATTGTTGTGTCCCCAGGTCATATGATCCCCTTTTGCGACCTTCTGACAAGCAAGGTCAATGGGGAAACCAGATTCACTTAACAACCAGGATACTAACTTAACAATTGCAAGAAATGTCATAAAATGGGGCA